TTGAACCAATCAATGTGTATCAGCAGACGACAAGTCCACCGCTAGATGTAATCTGTATTTTTACGGGAAACACATGTTTATACTCAAAACGATTGTTCAGCGTGTTGATATAACATCATACCTGTCATGTGTATTCCATTTTATCATACTGTCTAATCTTTTATAGCCCATTAGAGTCGAAAGTTTGTCTTGGACATAGCGGTTCGTCTTCTACGGCAGCCATATTTGTTTATCTTTTCGGTAACACTCGGGAGTCATCCACATAGTATTTACTCCGATCTCTCGGAGTTTATTAACCGAGTATATTAGATTTGAAGGTTTGATCATGGAAACTGATGTTATAGTTATTGACCATCAACTTTCTTCTAACTACACTTGTTTCAGTTAATAAATTATCATTAAAAATTAAGAAAATTAATTTAATGATCATAAAAATTAGTTTCATGAGCAGTAAATTCTCATTTCTTTTATTATCGAAAACAATAACGGCTTAAAAATTTAACAGAACAGTTCAGCATTTTTCAGCATTATCCTGAACAGTTCAGCAGTTTTCAGCATATATTTTCTCGTATTTACGAAGTACATTTATCGTGATGTGCCAAATGTACACTCGTGTTGTGATATGATAAATCGTTCCAATATATATATATACCATGATATACCCTAATTAATTCTGTAAATATTCATGGCCATGAACATGCATGGTGAACACTATATTAAAAATTTCTATGATGATATATATATAGATATCATGGCCTTTGTTGAAAAATTCATGGCCATGAATTTATGATCTTTACTAGAAGCTGTGGAATTACTTTTTCATGGCCATGAATTCTTCATGTCTTTACTTGGATGCCATGATATTTTTCTTCGTGGCCTTGAACTATCTGGTATCTCGGACACATTTAGAGCAACTAATTTTAAGGCAGTGGTTTTCCAAATTTCAATGCCATGAAATACACCATCGGAATTCATAGCCATGATTTGATTTTTTCAGGGCCATACTATGACCATGATTATTTTTTGCGACGAGAAATCATGGCCATGGTTCTTGACACTCGTATGAGACAACTATATTCATTGAAATTTAAGGGGATGTATGTGTGATTCATGGGGTATTCAAGGCCATGAAAAATATATTCATGGCATTTAGGCAAGCCCATGAAAAAAACTTCGACGAAATGTCATGGCCTTATCAATGGCATCCAGGCTTTTTAATGGGGTTTTCACAGGAATTTCATGGGATTTTTATGGGATATGCTTCCAGTAGTGAATGTATTTGGACTGGGAGAACTTATATTGATTTTTTTTCAACTCTGGGTGATTTCCCAGAGTTTAATCAAGACGAATCACAATGGCCAATCACTGCCTAATTAATGAAATAAAAACATAGCTATTTACACTATATACAAGGGCATTACCTAAGCGGCAATTACAAGTATCATAGGGAAGTACATGAAAGTAAATTCCCTCTGTATAGCCCAGGCAAACAAGGCTAACGCATCTTGAGAGCCAAATACAGCCAGCATATCCCTTCCAAAGATGACGGTCTCCACAAATTCGTAGCCATTTTGAACGCAGTGGAGACCGGCTTCTACCTGATCCATCATCTGATCAAACATGAATATAGTGGAAGGAACGGCCATTGTGATAATGATACAAAAATGCGCCAAATCGTCATTATATGCGATTCACTCGTACGTAAAAGAAGACCCTTGAATATTACTAAGTATTTCAATCCCACCTAGACACAAAAACGCAACAAAAATGAAACACATTATACAAAGTGTTTCACATGTGTATATAGACAATGCAAATGTTACAATATCGTGTGGAGATGTTATGCTCATCTATGATTATACATATGTACAACATCCTTTTCCTTCCTGAAACAATGTAATACAGACATATGTACAAAATACATATGAAACATTTGCTTTTCTAGATATGTCTATGTAATTCAGAGAGATATTTCAAAATCAAAACAATTTAACCGTAGGATTTCTATGCTGTTATTTTTTTAAAGATGTTTTTCAATTTTTTCAAGAAGATATTTTCCATATCTCAGTTTGATTTTTGTTCACCTGTTATACTCATCTTGCTTTACCGAATGCAACATATTTCAAACCCTGGGGTTAGGGTTAGTTTATCTTGCATCTCACTATCTTAACGTAATGCAACATAACCCTAACCCTATGCAACATAATTCTAACCCTGGGTTTAGGGTTAGGATATGTTGCATCTGCCCATATTTATGTATTGCAACATAACCTTAACATAAGTAGTATGTTGCATTGGTACTTTTCTATTGCAACATAATATAACCCTAACCCTAGGGTTAGACAGGGTTACATTATGTTGCAATTCTGTAACACAATGCAACATAACCTAACCTTATGCAACATAATTGATATGTTGCAAAATGTTATGGTTTGGGTTAGGGTTAACATATGTTGCATATCTCCATCTTAACGTAATGCAACATAACCCTTACCCTATGCAACATAACTGTAATCCTGGGGTTAGGGTTTCATTTATGTTGCATATTCAATATTTTTTAGTTTGCAACATATGCTAACCGATGCAACATAAGCTAACCCTAACCCTAACCATATGGTACTATGCAACATAAACGTATACCTAATTGCAACATAACATTTACCGAATGCAACATATGCTAATCCCGGCTAACCCTAGGGTTGTAGCGAAGTTGCATATTGTAACGAAATCACGTCATTTGGTAACGTAACGATGCAATTTGGTAACGAAATTTTGCAAGTTGGAACCAGAAAAAAAAAATTTGATACCAAGTTGCAAATTTTCGTTACCAAATTGCAAAAAATTGCATAATTCCGTTACAATATAGCATTTTTTCTTTAATATTCAAAAGATAAGACACGAAGAATTATGTATGCGCAATTATAAAATGTACAAGCGTTTTAAAACCTTAACCATAGCCAGATGCAATTTGGTAACGAAATTGCCATGAGCATATACCTTGGAAATTCGTAAAAAATGTGAAGTCATCAAAAACTGACAAAAGGGTCTGACCTGATAAAAAAAAATTATTCCCTAAGTATTGAGTTAAAAATTACAAAAAAAGTCTTCTGAAAAATGGATAATACTTGTAAACGCGACGTTTTGCAATTTGGTAACGAAATACTATATTTTGGTTACCAAATTGCATTTCCGCAGGGTTAGTCCATAAAAAGGTGATATTTCATAAATAATGACCATTTTCTGGTAAAAATGACTATATGCGACGGAAATAAACTTGTTGTTATCGTTTTTATTTGTAAATCCAGCTAAACGCGAGGATTTGCAATTTTGTAACGAAATTATTTCGTTACAGAATTGCATTAGGGTTAGGATTAGGGTTTATTTGCTAATAATAGTATCTGAACTGATTTAATTATATTCGGTTTTAAATATTGAGTCAAATAATGAAGCAATGTTTCTGGAAAAGTTAAAAAATACTTGTAAACGCGCTGTTTTGCAATTTGGTAACGAAATTCTATATTTTCGTTACCAAATTGCAATTCCTCAGGGTTAGGTACTAAAAATGTTATATTTTATCATCATGACCATTTTCTGGTAAAAATGACTGTGTGCGACGGAAATAAAAAATGTTGCGGTAGTGTTTATTTGTCAATCCAGCTAAACGCGAGAATTTGCAATTTTGTAACGAAATTATTTCGTTACAGAATTGCATTTGTGTTAAGGTTAGGGTTTATTTACTAATAATAGTATCTGAACTGATTTAATTATATTCGTTTTTAAATATTGAGTCAAATAATGAAACAATGTTTCTGGAAGAGTTAGAAAATACTTGTAAACGCGCTGTTTTGCAATTTGGTAACGAAATTCTATATTTTCGTTACGAAATTGCAATTCCTCAGGGTTAGGTACTAAAAATGTAATATTTTATCATCATGACCATTTTTTGGTAAAAATGACAGTGTGCGACGGAAATATAAAATGTTGTTGTAGTGTTTATTTGTCAATCCAGCTAAACGCGAGGATTTGCAATTTTGTAACGAAATTATTTCGTTACAGAATTGCATTAGGGTTAGGGTTAGAGTTTATTTACTAATAATAGTATCTGAACTGATTGAATTATATTCGTTTTTAAGTATTGAGTCAAATAATGAAGCATTTTTTCTGGAAAAGTTAAAAAATACTTGTAAACGCGCTGTTTTGCAATTTGGTAACGAATTTCTAAATTTTCGTTACCAAATTGCAATTCCTCAGGGTTAGGTACTAAGAATGTTATATTTGATCATCATGACCATTTTCTGGTAAAAATGACTGTGTGCGACGGAAATAAAAATGTTTTTGTGGTGTTTATTTGTCAATCCAGCTTAACGCGAGGATTTGCAATTTTGTAACGAAATTATTTCGTTACGAAATTGCAATTCCTCATGGTTAACTGGATGTTTAAACAAACACGACGACAACTTTTTAAAATTTTCGTTGCTTAGTCATTTTCATCAGAAAATTATCATATTTATCAAATATAACAATTTTCCACCTTACTCTGAGGAAATCCAACTTTGTAAAGTAAATGTAGAATTTCGTTACAAAATTGCAAAATGTCGCGGTTATAATTATTTTAATTGTTGCAAGTTTCCTTATATTTTGCTTTATGTTTTTTTTAATTCGCAATGGTAAGGAAACCACTTAGAAAAGCATACTTTTTGAAATTTGTTTAAACGCAGGAATTTGCAATCATGTAACGAAATTCAATTTTGTTGCCAAAAAAGCGAATTATTGCGATGAAGCTGATTGTCCTAAACAAAGTTTTTGGATATTAAACTTTGTGACTGTCAAGTTTGGAGACTCGTATGACTTTTCAGTTTCTTAAATTAAAGTAAGGAAACAACAAAACACATCATACTTATGGTTTAATTTCGTTTCACATCATCATCTATCATGAAAAGGAGTCATAAAATGGCACATAATTTGTCATCCTTTAAAATCAATAATTAACATCGATTCGTATCATAATCATTACAATCAACAACACAATCACTGATAATATAGCTTGAATGATATCAATTATTATTTGTTAATTTCGTTTCACATCATCTATCATGAAAAGGAGTCATAAAATTTAACATCATTCGTCATCCTTTAAAATCAAGAATTAACATCGATTCGTATCATAATCATTACTATCAACGTTACAATCAACCTCTCATTTTAAATCAGTCCTAAACAAATGTGCCTCATTTGTGTAACTGAATTACGCGTCGGTGGTTTTCTTCTTCCACTGTTTGCGAGCTGTTCTAACTCTGTCTGTTAACACCTTTGGGGTGTTTTTTCCAAGCAATTCCTTTGCTGTTTCATCTTGTTTCAACACGTGTACCACGTCTTTTTGAGTAATAGACCAGTCTCCTTTCACAATGGTGTCTGTAGTCGAAAGAAGAAGAAGTGCCTCATTATTTGTAAATGACCTGCGCCCATGTACTTTTACAACATGCCAGTCATCGTCCTCCGTGTCAGTGTCTTTTGCTGTAAGTGGCAGGAAACGATGGAAGGTTGGACTCGGTTCGTCGTCCTCGGGTTCAATGTATTCCGTTGGTGTTGGGTTGGTTGATTCGGGGGAAGCTTCTTCTTGTGTTGCGCCAAGCATTACCTCAGCTATTGTATTTGCTACTCCCACGCTCTCTGATTGCCGATCGTGTAGCAAGTAGTACTTGTCTGCAGTAGCGGCGCCATGGGTCATGTGGCTTGCAAGTTGTTCCCGCATTTCTGGATTGGATTTGCGTAAGTTGGTGACGGTCGCCTTGCGAATTTTGGTTGCGGAGATTGAGGATGTCTGCTTCGCTTCCTTCCAAAATGCATTAAGTGCACTGTTTAACTGGCTTTGATTCATTGCTTTGCCCGTCCAGGTGAGGAATACCCTTGATGAAGGGTTTAGAATGTCCTCACGGAATTCAAATAACACCTTTCGCATCTTTAGGTAGGCCTTGATTAAGTTCCAGATTTCCATGGTGATGACAAGTATACATGGCGTTCGGAATCCCGTCTTGTGCTCATGTATGGTTATGAGCATCTTCCCGTCCTTTTCCTTTGCGTACTCTAATGCTCTCAACGTGATGTTACAGACGGCTCCGGAACGCTGCGCGTTTGCTGCCAGGATGTACATTAAGAGAAAGTTCCTAGACGTTGTGTACACGGCCATTGTGATGTCTACGGTTCTTCTATCCCCATTCTGTAGCTGGTTCAGGTACGCTTTCGCCAGTGTCGCGTGGTCCGACGAAAGCGCATTTCTGATCTCACTGGTAGATATCTGGGTCTCCATGTCTTCAACAGAACGGGCAACAGCTCGAACCCGTCCAGCCTTTGTTAGAGTGTTGCACCACCGGTCGATTGCTGCCAAGGTACTTTCCGATTTGTCCTTGGAGAATCCCTCAGGTTTGCTTACACAAAGAAATCGGACGAATTCCTTTAAAGACCCAAGCATAGACTTCAGTGTTCCTGGCTGTTTCGTCTCCCTGTAAGGCTCTAGCCAGTACGTCCGCACAATAGTCTCGTCCTGGATGGAGGCAATGTCCATGTCTGCATCCACATTTGTCCAGATTTTCATCACCGCAGTTGTATGCTGAATGGCGGTTCGAAAAGTCTTACCCCTCTCAACGGACATCAACCATGTTTTGAATGACATTAAAGTCGGAACCTGCCTGTAGGACGAAAACGCCGAAGAAGCGGAAGCGGATGCTGATGATAAGAAAGAAGATGCTGATGAAGCAGAAGTGGCTGTCCTGCTAACAATCGATTCTTTCAACTTGTGGTTCAAAACCTTTCTAGGAAAAGATACCGGCTTCCTTACTTTGCTTTCTACAACCTCCTTTAGTTGTGTATGTTCGTCAATAGATGTTGCTGGTTTGTCATCTTTATCTATATACTTCCTGGCATATTTGCTCAGTTGTTTGGATTCCATCTTGGAGGCATTGTGCACACTTTGCACATGCATGTCGATGCGCGTCACTAAAGCTGGACAGTTTACCACTGGGCACATGTACAGTTTCTTCTCTCGGTGGGTATTTTGCACGGCCATTTCTCTTGATCGCTCTTTGGCGATGTTTGGGTCGATAGCATGGACCTCCCGCAAATGCCTCGGCATGTGGACCACCAGACGCATACACACGGGACAATTTCTCCTCTGTCTGAGTTTGTTCGACGTCTGCTTCTTCGGTGCCTTTAACTTATATTCGCGCTTACGTGGTACACTCATGGATTCCTTGAGCACAAATCCAGTCAGAGGCTCCACATCAGTCGATTCTTTAAGAGGGGGGGTCCAATCTGGGTCTTTGTCATCGTCGAGGTCTTCTTCATCCTCACTATCGTCTACTCCAAACAGTTTTGTTTTCCGCATGGCCTTTGCCTTTGCCGTAAATTGTTTCACTTTTTCAAGTAACAGATCCCTCTCTTCTTGGACGGGGGTGGTTGCGAAACAGCAGACGGACTTGGTGAAGGCGGAACTGGAGACGGACTGGATAGTTTCCCAGATGAATGAATACCCACTTCGCCTGGTTTGTGAGGATCTGTAAAATAAGTTAAAGTAGGTGTTTAATTTTTTTGTGCCATGTTTTGTATAATTTTATAGTTGTAATGAAATGTGCTAATCATTCGTGTGTCTTTAGTAAAATTCCTCAATAAAGCAGGATTGATAAAACACAAGCAGTGTTTGTTTTAATATTTGATAAGAAAATGGATAAATTATATTGTACGCTTAAAAAATACAATGCAATGTAAATCAACGCAATTTCATTTTTGTAAGCAATGTGTTTTTAGCTTTAAGAACATGTTCAATGTTTGTATGTTTATTTAAGGCATTTGAGTGTTTTGTTGCAATGATGATAATATTAATTTTTTCTCGTGTGGTATTCAATATAAAATAAATAGTTTATATTATATAATATCAAATGTTTTTCGTTGCTTTATTTTGAATTTTAAAATTTCCCTTAATTGGAGTATAAAATTATAAGCAATGGTTTAAAATGTTTTTAAAGGTGTTTTCTTTCATGAAAGATGTAGCAACGCTGGCTACTTTTTTAATTGGATGGGGATGATAACTGCATTAGGCTGCAACATATTAAGAATTTAATGCTGAGACCAAACACCAGAGCGACTCGGCCACTGCCAAATCAAGGAAGTGGTGTTGTCATTACTATTGAACAGGTGCGGCCGCACCAAGGAAAGCAGAATGAGTATGTCGACTCACCACGGGGGCAACCTTTGGGGAACCTCAAGACACCTAACAAATCGTGTTCTTTTATTGTGAACAATAGTAAACTATGGACGGAAATACTGGACAATCTGTTTTTATTTTTCAAATATATCCGAACAGCAGGACTTTTAGTAGCCCTAAGGGTGATTGTGATGTTGATAGTTATTATTAGGAAACGAATTAATTCTTGATTTTAAAGAATGACGCAAAAGAGCAAGCAGAGTTGGATGGCAAGCTTGACTCAACAAGAAACATGGCGGTCGCAGGCTCGGAGGGTTAGTTTTGCATTGACCACTCGTCTTGATGATTGCCACCCAAAAACCGGAAGAATGGGTGCAGTCTCTCATAAACCGATTTGGTGCACACTATGGTGACATAAGATGTTAAAAACAAATAAATTTGTAGAAGAATTTGTAGCAAAACCAAGCAAATCGCATACCAAGAGGGTTGTTATTGGTGGTTCCAGTGGTAAGAGGGCTGCGAGTTCTTGAAATATATGTATTAAATGCAAGCAATGGAAGAGGATGAAAACCAATGAGTGTGCTTTATGGGATGGGAAGCTGTTTTGTTTCGCCAGCAAAGTTATTGAGTGGAAAGAATATAAAAGGGATTGCCTCCTTTTGAGCCCCTCCCCAATGCCCCGGGGTTTAACCTAACCCTACCTATGCGTGTGATGTCCTGTTCAAGTTCTGGGTCATGATCAGGATTAGGGGTTGACGTTTCCGTTTCTTCCTCTTTGTTTTTGCTTTTGCGTTGCTGGACCGAACGTTGCATCGCCGGAGTGGGTAACTGTAATCCCTGATGGGCAGGTAGGGGATGGATGGATGGCATCTTCCTCGCTACTCTCACTTTTGGGTAGGGCCCTAAAGCATGAATTGGATCAATTAGATTATGCGCTTTTCAATCCTTACTCCAACAAATATGTAATTCATTGCAATTGTATATTCATCTATTTCATGATTGCATTCTAAACTTTACGAACTTGTTCAAGCTCATTGACGGGGACAAAAAAACAAAACTGATTTTTTTTTAAATCGAACAGGAAATGAACCAAGGATAATTTATTTTGTGAATACAAAAATATTGTTGTGATACTTCAATTTGAATAGTGTTACATGGGCATGAGGTTAGGTAAAATTTAGCACACATCTATGTCGGAAATGATACAAAATGACTGCTTAAAAGAAAAATCAACGATTAATTGGTATGAACACATTTTTGTCTAACCCTGTGGCATGCAATATTGTAACGAAATTCATGCTAAAGCCTGTGCCGAGCCTGTGAAATCCAATTTCTTTTTACATCCATATTACAAAGTTTTACTATTGTCTAATGTTTTCTGCTTTAATTATTGATGTCAACACACAATTTCCCTAATAAAATTAAATGTTTTAGTGCTAAACGCGAACGTTTTGCAAGCATGTAACGAAATTGTTCATCTCCAGAAAATGGAGCGAAAACGTTTATGTTCGTACCTGTTGCTTTGATATTTAAAAGATTAGACACGAAGAAATACGGATGCAAAATTATAAAATGTAAAAGCGTTTTAAAACCCTAACCATAGCCAGATGCAACTTGGTAACGAAATTGCCATGATCATATACCTTGGAAATTTGTAAAAAAAATTGAAGTCATCAAAAATAATTTTTATTTGGTTTTTCGGAAAGAGCATATAAAAAAATATGGGAAATAAAGACGTTTCTCGACAGGATTTCATATTTCAATTCGTCGCCGACCTACAATTATAGACCTTTTAACATCTGTTTAGCAAAACCAGCTCGATGACAACCATTTTTCTTTTCTTTTTCTAGTGACTCTTGATTTTATTGAATCAATAGTCATATAAATGTAATTTGTTGACATGAATAAGGTCATTAATAAGTCAGATTACCTGTGCTATCCTGTTCCGGTTCCGGACTCCTTGTCTCACTTGCCTGTTTCCGGGTTTCCTTCTCCAATTCCCCTGGTGCTGCTAGCCTCTTGCACGGTCGAGAAGAACGTTCCTTTGCAGGCGAATGACTGGAAGACCCCATCTTGTCCACGATCACTACTGGGTAGAGCCCTAAAGCATAAATTGGATCAATTAAATGATACACTTTTCATGTAGTAATTGCCCTTATTGTTAACTCAAACAAATATATAACGCAACACAATTTCATCTATCTAAGCTGTGTGTTTTCATCTCTAAATACATATTCGTTCCAGTTGTATAAGGCAGATTACCTGTGCGTTGGATATCCTGTTCCGGTTTTGTATTCTCTGGTTTAGGGGTTGGCTTCTCCGATTCATCTGATTCTCTGTTCAACTGCACCGTCGTGACGCACGTTGCTTTGACGGAGAATGAATTGAGGACCTCTTCGCCACTATCACTTCTGGGACAAGCTCTTTAACATAAATAAAATGTAGTGCTTAAAAAAAACTCAAACAAACAATCAGCAAAAAAAATGTTACGGTACCCCATTTATGATTAATTGAAAGAATACACGTGAAATTACGAAAGTTAAACAAAAATTAAGTTTTTTAAACGTTCATACCTCCTTCAGAGAATGGGTCAGTCTGATCCTCCGGTTTTGACGGTACCTCTGTCTGTGGCTGTTTCACCTCTTCTAAAAAATAATTTCAAACTAAACTTTTCCATTCAGAACGAATTATAAAGAACAAGGATGGATAGTGCAACTATTTATTTCCCATTTCTTAAACCACGTGTTATACTGATCACGTATACCAAGTTTCGTTAAAATCAGAGTAGTACTTTAGGATTGCCCGGACACGCTTCAACCAATGAGAAGTCGGCGGCCATTTTTAAAATCGGTTCTTCGAAAGAAAAATGTGGGATGCACAACTACATGTTATTAAACAAATGGCTGTTTACAAACAAAGTTTATTATAAATAATAAACTACAACGTAGTACTGTCGGAGCTGTTGTGCGGACAAGCCTCAAATAATGAGAAGCCAGCAGCCATTTTGAAAAATGAATTTTTGGAAAATAAAAATGTGGGATGCACAACTACATGTTATACTGATCATGTATACCAAGTTTCGTTAAAATCGGAGTAGTACTTTAGGAGGAGTTGCCCGGACAAGTCTCAACGAATGAGAAGTCGGCGGCCATTTTTAAAATTGGTTTTTCGAAAGAAAAAAAATGTGGGATGCACAACTACATGTTATGCTGATCATGTATACCAAGTTTCATTAAAATCGGAGTAGTACTTTAGGATGAGTTGTCCGGACAAGCCTCAAACAATGAGAAGCCAGCAGCCATTTTGAAAAATGAATTTTTGAAAAAAAAATGTGGGATGCACAACTACATGTTATACTGATCATGTATACCAAGTTTCGTTAAAATCGGAGTAATACTTTAGGAGCAGTTGTCCGGACAAGCCTCAACCGATGAGAAGCCGGCAGCCATTTTGAAAAATGAACTGTTGAAAAAAAAATATGGGATGCACAACTACATGTTATACTGATCATGTATACCAAGTTTCGTTAAAATCGGAGTAGTACTATAGGAGGAGTTGCCCAAACAAGTCTCAACCAATGAGAAGTCGACGGCCATTTTTAAAATTGTTTTTTCGAAAGAAACAAAAAGGGGATGCACAACTAAATATTATACTGATCATGTATACCAAGTTTCATTAAAATCGAAGTAGTACTTTAGGAGCAGTTGTCCGGACAAGCCTCAACCAATGAGAAGCCGGCAGCCATTTTGAAAAATGAATTTTTGAGAAAAAAAATGTGGGATGCACAACTATATGTTATACTGATCATGTATACCAAGTTTCGTTAAAATCGGAGTAATACTTTAGGAGCAGTTGCCGGGACAAGCCTCAACCAATGAGAAGCCGGCAGCCATTCTGAAAAATTAATTTTTGAGAAAAAAAATGTGGGATGCACAACTACATGTTATGCTGATCATGTATACCAAGTTTCGTTAAAAGCGGAGTAGTACTTTAGGATGAGTTGCCCGGACAAGTCCCAACCAATGAGAAGTCGGTGGCCATTTTTAAAATTGTTTTTTCGAAAGAAACAAATAAGGGATGCACAACTACATGTTATACTTATCATGTATCCCAAGTTTCGTTAAAATAGGAGTAGTACTTTAGGAGGAGTTGCCCGGACAAGCCTCAACCAATGAGAAGCCGGCAGCCATTTTGAAAAATTAATTTTTGAGAAAAAAAATGTGGGATGCACAACTAAACGTTATACTGATCATGTATACCAAGTTTCGTTAAAATCGGAGTAGTACTTTAGGAGGAGTTGCCCGGACAAGTCTCAACCAATGAGAAGTCGGCGGCCATTTTTAAAATTGGTTTTTCGAAAGAAACAAATAAGGGATGCACAACTACATGTTACACTTATCATGTATACCAAGTTTCGTTAAAATCGGAGTAAGACTTTAGGAGGAGTTGCCCGGACAAGTCTCAACCAATGAGAAGTCGGCGGCCATTTTTAAAATTGGTTTTTCAAAACAAACAAAAATATGGGATGCACAACTGCATGTTATACTGATTATGTATACCAAGTTTCATTAAAATCGGAGTAGTACTTTAGAAGGAATTGTCCGGACAACTATTGCGTGACAGACAGACAGACAGACGGACCGACGGACAGACAGACAGACAGACAGACAGACAGACGGACGGACGGTTAAACTATAGTCCCCCGTTTTTCAAACGGCACGGGACTAATAAAATATAGACCGGAAGCAAAGTAAGGCGTGTGTCGGCAATGTTCAGGACGTTAACGGAGCCACGCGGTGAGTTGAACTAGAGAATTACTATTTACCATCTTTAGAATCTGTTCATCTCATAAAACAAACAATAACACATTTCTCAGCATTTAGCTAAAATAAGGAAGTTGTCGGTTATGCTTGTTCAATGAAAATAACAGCCATCGCCCAGGGATGGTCAATGTATCCAACCTAATATTTTGCGAAAACTGTATGGTTTTAACTAAAAAACATACATTATTTATATAATGTTATTACTTTATGCATTTTCAATACCTGCTTTTCTGCATGTTCTTTTCTTCCGGATTCCTACTCGGCAAGTCAACTTCCGTTTCTTTGGTGCCATCTTTGTCTCCAAGCTGAAGACAAAAATGAAGTAGAAGATAATTTTTAAATTTCATGGACGGGGCATGGCAATAACCATTGGCCTCTAAACCGATAACTTTACATTTAAATATTCGTAAATGAAAAATTAGGTTCAAGTTTATTACCTATATGGAGCCCTTATAACAGTTTGCATCTACCACTGTGACAGTGGCCTACACCTTGTGACATTGAAACTTTTGCACAATGGTTATTATATAACCCCTACTACCTGACCTCTTTATTTACGAATATAAAATATCAAAAGGTCTGATATTTTTATTTTTTTTTAGTTCTTGTAAGTGTTGAAATCCCTTGTATGTCTTTGATCGTATGACATTTAGCAATTAAATCGAATCAATGCACAATTGTCTAAAGCTTTTCATACTAATTTTGGTTGCCTTTTCAGTTTTGCAATCATTGACTTTATCAATATTAAATTCAAAATAATATATCAATGTATATATCCCTTTTGCCACCTACGTTTGATCTCTATCTGGGCTATCCCATATATCCCCTAACTTTGTTGCTATGATCAATCATGCTAAGCCATGTCTGGAGATTTAGATTTGGAAACCTTAATGATATTGATGCATACTCCGCTTTTCTAATAGTGTCACTACTTAGTACATATTGCTCTGTATGCCTTTATTTAATTGATGTGAATAAATAAAATTAGAATTTTGATTACTTAGTTTATATCTTCGAACTTAT